GAGTCAACAACACAAGGGAGTCAATTGCTCCCTTGGGCTCTGGTGCTGGCCTATTTATAGCAGCAAATGCCTCCCGAATTCGTGGACAGTCAAACTTAAGTATGTTATGCCCCGCCCATATTCTCCCTATATTATGTGTGCATCAGAACAAATAATAATGAGTACTCAATAATTTCGAAAATTAACACAAAAAAACTAGAATATCATGTGACCAACTGACAATTAAAGGTGACCCACTCAAGCACTCATAAGTCATATCCAGATGATACAAAATACAGACCACTGTAAAAGACCCATACTCACTATTTCATCCAGATGTTAAAGCCACCATCAATTAAGGTTAAAGAAATTTGTCTAAATAGTAATAAAAACGTTTTGGAATTCCAAAATAGGAACGCTTTAGTTCCTAGATAGGGGAACTACTACCAGGGAATTTAATGCCATAAAATGGCAGTACACCGAGTCACTGACATATTTAATGCCTGAAAATGTCAAACTCGAAAAGAACATAGACTCATATGTCAAGAAATCAGTTCACATCACTATGTCAAGAAACTTTACCAGATATGAGCAGCATAAAAAAATATCATGCTTTAAGTTTGAAAAAATCAGCTTATAAGCTAGGACTCCATTTACTTCCAAGTTCCAAAAAAATAGCTAAAACATAAGAATCTCATTTGCGATTACAAGGGATAGCAAAGAAACGGCCAAATTGTGCGGCGAGGGGGTTACCGTGAAGAAAGCCATAGACTTTGTCGGCGATATCCGCAAAAGCCGGGGCGGAAACGACATCGTCTTCGCGAATACCGTTGCAGAGAACAGAGCGCGCAGTGATGAGCGAGAGATCAGCGGGTCGGACCAAGGTGGAGAAACTCTCCAGCTCGACGAGCTTCCTGGGGCACACCAGTATCCCTCCGAACTCCAGAAGCGCGTGGCCCTGGCCGGATCGGGTCGGGATCGTCGTCTCTACGTCGAAAAAAGCTATCTCTGGCATATCCCGGCCCTCCATCATTCGAAGTTCCCAAAGCGTAACAATTGAGAAGATTTGAAAAGTGGGAGGAAGAACGCAAGTGGCGCGAAATTGAAGAATTTCTCTGCAACAGCGATTACCTGCATATATTAATAACTTGTTACCCTCCCATACTTTTTGAGCATGAGTATGGGTTTAGGTTTGGGTTGCTTATTGGGGAGGTAAGGTTTTTGGATTTTGGGAGTTAAACCTCAGGAGAAGGAAACGTGTGAATTGTGAAATGCGCAGAGCACTGCATCTAAGGAAGCATCTGCTGGACATGACGCCTAGTCGCCTATGCTACATATTCTATAAACAAAGTACTCCTTTTATAATATGGAAGGAAATAAGCAGAAGATCAGGGAGATAAAGTATAGTCTGAATACTTAGTGAGAAAGATGTTATTAGAAGTGTGATAATGGTGTAACCATGGTGTGTTAATTACAATGGAGAAGCCTCCTATTTATAGGAGAAAAGTTAAGCTTCATAGGATTAGAGGATAATTGTGAACCACACAATTATCATCTAGAATCATAATTATGATTTCCTGATTATTTATGTAATGGTGATAATAATTCCTAATCAGGAATAGTTGGAAGATGACTAATTCAATTATATTTCAACACTCCCCCTTGAATGGTCATCTTCTAATTATTCTGGGGTATTAGATTCATAGTATTATAATGTACTGTCTCGTTAAAAACCTTTGTCAAGAAAAACCCAGTGGGATAAAAACTTGACGAAGGGAAAAAGAGTGCAGTGCATTATATTACTCCCCCTCAATTTAACATATATCTCGAAGACGATACATTCCAATTTTATGGACCAGTTCTTCAAATTTCTTCGGTGCCAATGACTTTGTGAACAAATCAGCAGGGTTGTCGCATGACTTGATTTGTTTGACATCAACCGTTCCGTCTTTCTCAAGATCATGTGTGGAGAAAAGTTTTGGTGCTATATGCTTTGTTCTGTCCCCTTTGATGTAACCTCCTTTGATCTGAGCTATACATGCTGTATTATCTTCATAAATCACAGTAGGATTAGAAGTAAAAGATTTTATACCGCATTCATTTTGTATGTGCTGGATCATTGATCTCAACCAGACACACTCACGACCTGCTTCATAAAGAGCAATTAATTCTGCATGATTTGATGATGTTGCAGTTAATGTTTGCTTCATTGATCTCCATGATATAGCGGTATCACCATAGGTGAATAAATATCCTGTTTGTGATTTTGCCTTTTGTGGATCAGACAAGTATCCTGCATCCGCGTAGCCAATTAAAGTGGCATTTGCACCATTCTTGAAATACAATCCAAGATCGATTGTACCATTGAGATATCGGAATATATGTTTGACACCATTCCAATGCCTTCTTGTTGGGGAAGAACTGTACCTGGCTAATAAATTTACAGAAAAAGCAATATCTGGTCGAGTATTATTAGCCAAATACATTAATGCTCCAATAGCACTCAAATATGGTATTTCGGGACCAAGGATTTCTTCATCATCTTCACAAGGTCGGAAAGGATCATCATGCACATTGAGAGATCGAACCACCATTGGAGAATTGAGCGGATGTGCTTTATCCATGTAAAATCGCTTCAAAAGTTTCTCGGTATAATTTGATTGGTGGATGAAAATACCATTTCTCAAATGTTCAATTTGAATGCCGAGACAAAATTTTGTTCTCCCAAGGTCTTTCATTTCAAATTCTTTCATGAGATATTTTGCAGTATTTTCAATTTCATTAGGAGTTCCGATTATATTCAAATCATCAACATATACTGCAATTATGGCGAATCCTGATTCGGATCGTTGAATGAAAACACATGGACTAATAGGATCATTTTTATACCCTTCTTTAATCAAATATTCACTGAGACGGTTATACCACATGCGTCCAGATTGTTTTAATCCATATAATGACTTTTGCAATTTTATGGAAAATAAATCTCGAGATTTCGAGCTATAAGCATCAGGTATTTTAAAGCCTCCAGGAATTCTCATATATATGTCTGTATCGAGTGAACCGTATAAATATGCGGTCACCACATCCATTAGGCGCATTTGCAGCCTTTCAAAAACAGACATGCCAATTAAAAATCTTAAAGTTGTAGCATCAACTACTGGAGAATACGTCTCATCATAATCGATTCCTGGCATTTGAGAAAAACCTTGGGCAACAAGTCGGGCTTTGTATCTAACGATTTCATTTTTCTCGTTGCGTTTACGCACAAAAACCCATTTAAAACCAACAGGTTTTACGCCTTTTGGCGTATGGACAATTGGTCCAAAAACATTACGCTTTTCTAGCGATTTTAATTCTACCTGAATTGCTTCATTCCATTTTGGCCAATCATTTCTACGACGACATTCGTCAATAGATTTAGGCTCATTGTCATCGTGTTCATTCATTATATCTGTGGCGATGGCATATGAAAATATATCATTAACATCAATATCATTTCTATTCCATTGTATTCCATTAGAAACGTAATTAATTGAAATTTCGAAATTATCGACGTTTCTATCTTTATCTGGAATATTTACCTCTTCGAAGGTGATTGGATCCTCTTTTGAGGTATCATTATTATTGATGTTATCTTCAAGGCCGATATTTTCAAAATGTTCATTTTCTTCTTGAGAAGGTTGAACTTCTTTGGCATCACAAACTACAACTTGCTGTTTAAATTTTCTTGGTTTCAAATCTCTTGAACCAAGTGGTCTACCACGTATTTTACGTATCATAGATTCATTAGCAAGTGTTCTTTCGCTAATCTCCGCAGGAATTTCTATTCGAGAAGGAGCATTCATAGCTGGAACATGTGACTTTGTCACTTTCTTTGAGTCTGTGAAAGCATCAGGCAATTGGTTTGCAACATTTTGTAAATGAATAATCTTTTGAATTTCTTGTTCACAAGCATTTGTGCGAGAATCAAGAAAAGATAAATTTGTTGCATTCCAAGTAGTATCTTTCGTACGTGGGTCCATTTCTTTAATATCTCCCCCTAAGGCTGGGAATACTGTCTCATCAAAATGACAGTCATCGAACCGCGCGGTGAATAAGTCACCGGTCATAGGTTCTAGATAATTAATAATTGAGGGTGATTTAAAACCAACATAAATTCCCAGCCTTCTTTGAGGACCCATTTTAGTACGATAAGGTGGAGCAATTGGTACATACACAGAACAACCAAATATTTTTAGGTGGGATATATTTGGTTCTTTACCAGATATTAATTGTAATGGGGAAAATTTATGATATGCCGTTGGCCTAAGCCGAATTAAATTTGCAGCATGCATTATAGCATATCCCCATGCAGATGATGGTAATCTGGATTTCATCAATAATGGTCTAGCAATTAATTGTAATCGCTTAATTAAGGATTCGGCAAGACCATTTTGTGTATGTACATGTGGGACTGGATGTTCCACATCAATCCCAATTGACATGCAATAGTCATTAAAAGATTGGGATGTAAATTCTCCTGCATTATCAAGTCGGATTTTCTTTATCGAATAATCCGGAAATTGTGATCTCAAACGAATAATTTGAGCAAGGAGATTTGCAAATGCAAAATTTCTAGTCGATAAAAGACTGACATGTGACCAACGTGTTGATGCATCAATGAGCACCATAAAATATCGAAACGGTCCACACGGAGGGGTAATTGGCCCACAAATATCTCCTTGAATTCTTTCTAAAAATGCAGGAGATTCAACTCCAATTTTGTATAAAGATGGCCTGATAATTAATTTGCCAAGAGAACAGGCAGTGCATGGAAAATCACTTGATTGTGGAATCTTGACATTAGTTAATGAATGTCCACGTGAATTTTCAATAATTTTGTGCATCATAGTGCTGCCTGGATGACCTAAACGGTCATGCCACAAGATAGAGGAATTGTGGTCATAAATTTTAGATACCACATTTATCTCAATTGGACTGATATATGTATAATACAGTCCCGAGGAATATGCTGGCCAGCATTTTTTCAGAAATGTATTTATTGCCAGATCTATTTGTCGTTAGACATAAATATTCCTTCTGATTTTCAGACATGGTTTCAATATGAAAACCATTTAGACGCAAATATTTAAAGCTCAAAAGATTTCTCCGTGATTTACTAGAGTATAAAGCGTCTTTAATTATTAATTTTGTCCCTTTTGGGAGAATCACACAGGCTATTCCAGAACCTTCAATGAGTTTAGCAACACCTGAGATTGTATTGACATTAGCATCAACTAATGTCATATGAGAAAAATAATCTCTATGTCTCAAAATGATGTGCGTTGTGGCACTGTCTATTAGACATTGTTCAGAGCCACTTGGAGAAATTTTAGTTAACTCCATATCTGCTAGGAAGATGATGATTTCACGGATTTGGAGCAAATTCGTGCTGATAACGTGTTATAATATGGAAGGAAATAAGCAGAAGATCAGGGAGATAAAGTATAGTCTGAATACTTAGTGAGAAAGATGTTATTAGAAGTGTGATAATGGTGTAACCATGGTGTGTTAATTACAATGGAGAAGCCTCCTATTTATAGGAGAAAAGTTAAGCTTCATAGGATTAGAGGATAATTGTGAACCACACAATTATCATCTAGAATCATAATTATGATTTCCTGATTATTTATGTAATGGTGATAATAATTCCTAATCAGGAATAGTTGGAAGATGACTAATTCAATTATATTTCAACACTCCGTATTTTAAATTTGTTAAGAGCCCGCTTAGCCAACATGTTTTTCTATTTATCTAACTTATCCCTCATTTCTTCATGAAACAAGTAAGTTTTGATTTCGAGTGCTGAATTGTGTAATGATAATAATAGTAAGGTTGAACAGAGCCGGTCCTGGGGCATGGGCAAAGGGACATGTGCCCAAGGCCCATTGCTCCGTTAGGGCCCATAAATTTCATAATTATGTGTATATGGATATATTAATATATTAATCATATATACATAAAAATCTATAAAAAACAAAAAACAAAAATCAAATATAATTTTTTTATACCTTCAATTCATTTTTAAAATGTCCACATTAGAATTCATTGAGAACGTACCTCACCATTTCTTTTGATTCATTATGGGCCTTATGGCTTAGCGTATAAATGTTCTTTTGATCTTCTTCTCTCATTTATACTCATGATTCGTTGATAGTATTTTACTAGTTGTCTCTAATTCTTTTATACTCCCTTCGTCCCGCTATTAACTTCTTGCTTTCCTTTTTGGGACGTCCCAAAATTATCTTCTCATTTCCTTAAATGGAAAGTTTTCCTACATCAAAACAGTGTCAAACAGTGCAAAACAGTGCCAAACAGTGCCAAACAGTGCCAAACAGTGTCTAAACAGTGTCTAAACAGTGTCTAAACAGTAAAGTCAAATTTAATTCCTAAAAATGTGTGAGGGTCAAAGTAAGAACTTAAAAACGGGATGGAGGGAGTATAAGGTTAAGATTGAACTATGTATAGTATTCATGATTTAGAATACTTGCTAGTGTCGGTAATTTATCATCTCCTTACCTGCACCAGCAGGTAAAAATGACCCGATTGCTTAATTTTCAATGATTTGAGGGGTATATTTGCATGTCTTCTGGTTCAAGGGTCTGATTGCAGAATCACAAATAGTTCGAGGGTTATTTGTCTCTTTTCTCTTTATTTTAAAATATGAAAAAGTTACTCCGTATATGCACAATATATCTTTCACGTCTTTACCTAATTCAAAATTCTTTATTGCAACTAATATACTAGGTACATTGTATCCTCAAATGTGACATATAAAATAATTCAATAATTTTTTTTCCTAATTAACTGCTTTATTGATTTCTTTGATGTGTTATACTTGTATTTGGATGACAAAATTGTTTAACTTTACTATATATTTTTATAACAAAAAATTATTATAAATATTTACACAGTATCCCTGAGGCCTACTATGTTTGTATTGCCCCGGGCCCAAAAAATGTCAGGACCGGGCCCGGGTTGAAATTACTTTTGTGACTGTATTGACTGAAGTTACTATAGATAATCATTGTAGTTATTTTTCATATAATTTTTTTATTGATAAAATATATTTTAAATACAATATTTACATAAATCAGAAGAATCAACCAATCCAGCCACTTCAGCCAGATCTTAATAAGTTTCAGCAGAATTAGTCAATTCAACCGAATTTTGGTATTACAGAATATCAGGGCCGGTCCGGGGGGGCAACAGGGGCGAGCGTCCTAGGCCTGAAAATATATAGAGACAAAAATAGGCCCAAGAATTTTCTGCATATATAGTGTGTGTAGGTTTTTTTTTAAAGTTCAATTAATTAGGTCTAATGTTTAAATTTTGATGACAATTTGAAAAAAGTAGAACATAAGTAAAATGTCTTACACGAAGCCAAGTTTAAAAAAGAATATATATTAATTTTAAGTAGGGGTGTAGTTTTTAAAGCAACACAATGAATGAATAAAAGACACGTCTCTTCAGTCTTCACGTCTCTTTAACTTTTAATGATTTTATTCCTTTTAAGCGAGTATAGATGACTTTGCTTTACATTGTTCTGCGAGAAACGATTTAAGTACTCCGTAATATTTTTTCTTTTTGAGTAATACTTGTGTTGTTACATTTGCCCAATATGTAATTTAAATAGCAGTAAAGTGGTTTTGGCCTTTATTTTCTGACCTTTATTAGAAAATTTTGTTATAATTCATATTGTAAATATGTATAATTTACATTTTATCTTGTGTATAAGCCCAATATAGTATATCTCGCCCATAGGCCCATAAATAGGCAAGACCGACCTTGCAGAACACGCTCTAAGGTGTACTGATTATGAAATCAATTAATCAAATTCATCTTGGAGTGACATGACTATTCAAAAGTGATTGAGAACTTTCATATTGTAATCTGTACTGTTAGATAGTATCGGAACTAATTATTTATTTTTCAAAGGCCAAACAATTTTTGTTGTTCACATAAGATTGTTGAAGAATGCATGATATATATTGTAGGCCTAATCCAAAATTACTGATTATATTTTTGAATTAAAATTGTATTGTTTATAAAATGTAAATTTGTAGGATCTTGGGCTTGAATAAGGTGCCCAAATATGTATTATTCCTAAATGAAATGTAATTACGGAGTATTAATTAGTTAAGACCATGGATTGCAGGGTATTATTATTGCATGGTCAAATTCTTGGGTATGATCTTCATTTGAGACATAAAAGTGTATCTTAAATAAATACATTCAGGGTTTTTGAACCGATTATTTATCTACTGTACATTTGAACTGAAAAGCCTTGTGATGCTATTTTTTGTTACTTATGAGTAATTTGAACTATTAAGAGCATGGTTTTGATCAATCTCAATACTGCTACAATTTTGTACTATACGTAGCCTTTGTCTAATATTATAAACTTTCTGACCTACAATACGATGCTACCTAGTGGTTATTCTGGGCCACTAGGTATCACATGTTAAAATGCACCCACTCCGTATCACACATAATACAATAATTTTTGGTGTCTAAAGACCCTTTAGTTTTTGAAAATAAAGTATGTTGGAATGGGTATTACACGCTATAGTGCGAAATCTCTTTTAAAGAAAACTTCATATCACACGGTCCTTTTAAAATAACATAGAAATTTGTAAAAAGATACAAAGTTATAGTCTTTAAAAAGATTAGACAATACTGTACAAATCACATGCAGAACATTGATTACACTTTTAGATACATCACCACATAAATCCATCGTTAAATGCATGTATTGACATTATTTATATATTATGAATATAGCATATATTTAAATAGTATTGTTAAAGATATAAAGGAAAGCATATTTGAAATTGGCTTTTTACTCACCAATGCTTGAGGAAGCGGTCTAGCTCAACTGGTCGCCAACTCATTTTCTCTTATGAGAGGTCTCGGGTTTGAAACTCAATAGAGTGAGTTTCAGTTCAGTTTACTCCAACCCCCTTAGACCCCCTCCCCCAGACGCCCCATGGAGTCAAAACAAATAAAAAAAACAAAAAAAACACCAGTGTTTTGATTAAAGGCATGTATATTGATCAGCTCTACCTACCAATGCTGATTGACCAACTGTGTCATATACACTATATAAATAGACTTAGAGGCATTAACAATCACATTAAGAATTCATTTATGATTTGAGGACTTTCATCTCCAAGCAACAAATTTTGGCTTAAGATACTATAGGTTTTCTGCCCACCAGGATGCCAAACAAGGCCATTGAGGTGGCTAGCAAGGAATATGGTAGTCCTAATGTTAGGGCCCAGAATAACCACTAGGTAGCATCGTATTGTAGGTCAGAAAGTTTATAATATTAGACAAAGGCTACGTATAGTACAAAATTGTAGCAGTATTGAGATTGATCAAAACCATGCTCTTAATAGTTCAAATTACTCATAAGTAACAAAAAATAGCATCACAAGGCTTTTCAGTTCAAATGTACAGTAGATAAATAATCGGTTCAAAAACCCTGAATGTATTTATTTAAGATACACTTTTATGTCTCAAATGAAGATCATACCCAAGAATTTGACCATGCAATAATAATACCCTGCAATCCATGGTCTTAACTAATTAATACTCCGTAATTACATTTCATTTAGGAATAATACATATTTGGGCACCTTATTCAAGCCCAAGATCCTACAAATTTACATTTTATAAACAATACAATTTTAATTCAAAAATATAATCAGTAATTTTGGATTAGGCCTACAATATATATCATGCATTCTTCAAAATGAGTAATTGTATTTTTGATTATATTGTAGGCCTAATCCAAAATTACTGATTATATTTTTGAATTAAAATTGTATTGTTTATAAAATGTAAATTTGTAGGATCTTGGGCTTGAATAAGGTGCCCAAATATGTATTATTCCTAAATGAAATGTAATTACGGAGTATTAATTAGTTAAGACCATGGATTGCAGGGTATTATTATTGCATGGTCAAATTCTTGGGTATGATCTTCATTTGATTCCTTAACTTTTTAAGTCTTACTTTTCGCGTTTGAATACCATCAAAGCCAGATTGTTTCTAAAATAAACTGCTAACTATTGAATGTTAAAAATAAATCTTCCTATTCTTTGTAATAAGAAATCTAAATGTTAACTGAACATAAATCTATTTTTCAAAACATGCCCTATTTGCCTTATGTATTTATTTTCAATGTTTGGACCTTCAAGTATGGTTTTTGATCTGCTACACTCATAATATTTTTGTTTTCGAACCCTTGGGTATATAAAACTATATACTAAAACGGTCTTAACTTTACCTTTCAGATTTACCTGTTGTTGTTGCCATTGATTCTATGTGTTTGAGAAACACACTTTCCCACAATCTTGCCAATTATATTTGTGTTTATCAAACTGTTAGAAAGAATACAAAAGAATAGGAAACCTTAGATGAACACTACTAAAAAATTAGATTGAATTCTTTTTACATAATATTCGAAAAGAGTTTAAAGCATATGATATACATCTTCATCATGAGAAACAACTTCTAGTGTCTCACCTATCTTGCCAATTTTGGTGATTGTTAACCTTAGATGAACCCTACTAAAATGACTTGAAATTATATTTGCCTAATTTTCAAAGAGTTTTAAACACATTTGCACATGATATACCTCTTCATCATGGAAAATAACTTATAGTGTATCTCCTCTCCTAAAATGCGGTCAAACATCAAAGACCCATA